ACAGTCAGCCAAAGATTGTGTATTCTACAAAACTAAGTTTCATAAATGAAGGAGAAAGTCCTTCTCAGACAAGCAAATGCTGAGAGAATTTGTCACCAACAGATCGGCTCGACAAGAAATACTCAAAGCAGTTCTAAATATTGAAACAAAAAGTCAAAAAACACCAATAGAAAAAACACTGGAAATCATGAAGCTCACAGGATTGTAGAACATCAACACAATAGAGACCAATTAAAAAAAAGCAATCAGGTATCAGCCAATGTGATGAATGGAATAGTACCTTACGTATCATTATTAACCCTGAATGTAAATAGTCTTGATGTTCCACTTAAAAGGTACAGACTGGCAGAGTGGATTAAAAAACACAATGCCTTCAAAAGACCCACTTAACACACAAATACTCCTATATACTCAGAATAAAGGGTTGGAGAAAATACACTACACAAATAGAAACCAAAAATGAGCAGAAGTGGTCAGTCTCATATCAGATAAAGCAGACTTTAAATTAACAACAGTAAAAAATGACAAGGAAGGTTATTATATCAATCAATCCAACAAGAAGATACATATATATATATATATATATATGCATCTAACACCACAGCTCCCCAGCTTTATAAAACAAATTCTAGAAGATCTAAGAAAAGAGATAGACAGCAATATAATAATAGTGGGAAACTTCAACAGCCCAAGATAGCAATAGACAGATCAAGAAAGCAAAAAGCCAACAAAGAAACCTTGGAGTTAAACTGGACCCTAGAGTAAGTGAATCTAACAGACATCTACAAAACATTCTCCCCCAAAACTGCAGAATATACATTTTTCTCAACAGCACATGGAACATTCCCCAAGACAGATCATATGTTAGGCCACAAATCAAGTCTCAATAAATTCAAAAAAATCAGAATCATATCAAGCACCTTCTCAGACCACAGTGGAATAAAACTCAACTTTAACTCCAAGAAGAACTTTCAAAATCAAACAAATACATAGACATTTAAAAATCTGCTGAATGATTTTGGAGTCAACAATAAAATCAAGATGTAAATTTAAAAATTCCTTTAAGTGAATGACAACAATGACATAAGTTATCAAAAGTTCTGAGACACAGATGAAGCTGTGCTCAGAGGCGAATTTATAGTGCTTAAGGCCTACATTAAAAAGACTACAAGATCACCTAACATCACACCGCAAGAAACTAGAAAAATACAAACAAACCAAACCCAAAGCTATCAAGGAAAGAAATAACGAAGATAAGTGCAGAACTAAACAAAATTGAGACCAAAAATACATAAAAAGAATCATTCAAACAAAAAGCTGTTTCTTTGAAAAGATAAACAAAATTGATAGGTCACGAGTTTGATTAATTAGGAAACAAAGAAAGAAGATTCAGCTTAGCTCACTCAGAAATGAAGATGGAGACATTACAACTGATACTACAAAAATACAAAAGATCATCTGAGATTATTATTATAAACACCTCTATGCAAACAACCTAGACAATCTAGATGGAATGGATACATCTTTGGAAACATACAACCCCAATCTTGAATCAGGAAGAAATATAAACCCTGAACAGACCAATAACAAGTAGCAAGATTAAATCAAATTCTACCTTTCAAAGATTTTCAAAGAAGAACTGGTACTTAGTCTACTGAAGCTATTCCATAAGATTAAAAAGGAGGGAATTTTCCCTAACTCATTCTATGAAGCCAGTATCATCCTAATACCAAAAGCAGAAAAAGATACAACAAAAAAAGAAAACTACATACCAATATCCCTGATAAACATACACACAAAAATCATCAACAAAATACTAGCAAACCAAATTCAACAGCACATTAAAAATTACCCACCACAACAAAGTGGGTTTTATCCCAAGGATACAAGGATGGTTCAACACATGCAAGTCAATAAATGTGATCCATCGCATAACAGAACTAAAATAAAAAAATCATATGATCATTTCATTAGAGGCAGAAAAAGCATTTGATAAAATCCAGCATCCCTTCAGGATAAAAACCCTCAACAAAATTTAGGATGACATAGAAGTAACATCCCCAAAATAACAAAAACAATGTCATCATGAATAGAGAAAAGTTGAATGCATTCCCCCTCAGAACTAGAACAAGGCAAGGATACCCACTTTACCGCTCCTATTCTACATAGTAGTAGAAATCTTAGCCAGAGCAATCAGGCAAGAGAAGAAAATAAAGGATATCCAAATTGGAAAAGAAGTAAAACCATCTCTGTATGATGATGATATTATTTTATACCCAAAGAATCCTAAAGACTCCTCCAAAAGACTACTACACTTGATAAATGAACTCAGTGAAGTCTTGGGCTACAAAATCAATACACACAGATCAGAAGCACTGCTATATACCAATAATGACCAAGCTGAGAATCAAATCAAGAACTCAGTTCCATTTACAGTAGCTGCCAAAAATTAAAATATCTAGGCATATATTTAACCAAGAGGTGAAAGACCTCTCTACAAGAACTATAAAACACTGATGAAAGAAATTGTAGAGGACACAAACAAATAGAAAAACATCCCACACTTATGGATTAGAAGAATCAACATTGTTAAAATTACCATATTACCCAAAGCAATCTACAGATTTAACACAATCCCTATTAAACAATGAATGTGATTTTTCACAGAATTAGAAAAAAAATCCTAAAATTCATATGGAACCAAGAAAGAGCCAGAATAGCCAAAGCAATCCTAAGCAAAAAGAACAAAGCTGGAAGCATCACATCACCTGACATCAAATTATATTCCAAGGTTGCAGTAACCAAAACAGCATGGTACGGGTACAAAAGCAGACATGTGGACAGATGGAACAGAATAGGGAATTCAGAAATAAATGCAAATATCTACAAACAACTGATCTTTAACAGGCAAAATATACACTGGGGAAAGGACACCCTATATTCAACAAGTGATGCCAGAAAATTGGATAGTTGCATGAAGAAAAATAAAACTTGATTCCTACCTCTTACCATATACAAAATTAAGTCAATATGGATTAAAGACTTAAATGTTAGACTTGAAACCATAAAAATCCTAAAAGAAAACCTAGGAAAAACTCTTCTGGACATTGGTCTAGGCAAAGAATTTATGGTTTAAAAACCTAAAAGCAAATCCAACAAAAACAAAAATAAGTAAATGGGACTTAATTAAACTAAAAAGCTTCTGCACAGCAAGAGAAATAATCAACAAAGTAAACAGGCAACCTATACTGACAAAGGAGTAATACCCAGACTCTACAAAGAACTCAAACAAACCAGTAAGAAAAAAGCAAATAACTTCTTTAAAGAGTAAACAAATGACATGAACAGACATCTCTCAAAAGAAGATATACAAATGGCCAACAAACACAAGAAAAAATGTTTATCATCACTACTCATCAGGGAAATGCAAGTTAAAACCAATGAGAAGCCACCTTACACCAGTCAGAATGGTCATTACTAAAAAATAAAATAATAATAGATGTTGGCACAGATGCGGTAAAGAGGGAATGCTTATATACTATTGGTGGGAATGAAAATTAGTACAATCTGTATGGAAATCAGTATGGAAATTTCTCAAAGAACTGAAAGTAGATCTACCATTCAATCCATTAGTCTCACTACTAGGTATCTAGCAAAAGGAAAAGAGGTCAATATACAAAAAAGACATCTGTGCTTATATGTTTATCACAGCACAACTCGCAATTACAAAGATGTGGAATCAACCTAAATGTTCATAAGCTGATTGGTGGATAATGAAAATGTGGTATATGTGTAACATGGAATACTATCCAGCCATAAAAAGGAATGAAATAATGTCTTTTGCAGCAATTTGGATGGAATTGGAGAAAACCATCCTAAGTTAGCTAATGCAGGAACAGCAAACCAAAGACCACATGGTCTTACTTATAAGTGGGAACTAAACTAAGGATCTGCAAAGGCATAGAGAATGGCATAATGGACATTGGAGACTCAGAAAGGGAAGGATGTGAAGGGAAGTAGGGATGAAAAATCATTTATAGGGTACCATGTGCACGGGTGGGGGTGAAAAGTACACTTAAAGCCCAGACATCTTCACCACTATACAAGTACAATGCATCCACATAATCAAAAACTATGTGTACCCCAAAGCTATTGAAAATTTTAAAAGACAAAAGAAAGAAAAAGAAAGAAAGAAATTCATGGCATTTAACCAAAAAAATAAAACAAAACAAAAAGTGATCCATATCCTAAAAGGAAAGTTTGAAAAACATAAAATAGTAGGAATAGAGGAGAAAAAAATCATAGAATCTCACTACCAAAATATTAATACATTTTTGGCATATTTCCTCTCATCCTTTTTCTGTACAAAGGTAGGTTTATTGCTTTTGTTTGGTGATGGTGATATTGCTGCTATTGTTCCACACAGCTATGAAACAGCATATTTACAATTTTATATCCTGGTTATTGTTTCTATTGTTACTATTAGTTTGTAATCAGTTTTTTTATACTGCATAAACCTCATAATCATGTTTTAAAAATAAACTTTACTTTGGAACAATTTTAGATTCACAGAAAGGTTGCAAAGAGACCTCAGAAAATTCCTGTGTACATTCACCTAGTTTCCTTTAATGCTAACATCTTACACACCACAGTACATTTGTCAAAACTAAGAAATTAACATCAAGAAATTAGTATTAACTAAACTACAGATTCTACCTCTCTTTCCACTAACATCCTTTAGGTGTTCCAGAATCTAATCCAGCACACTACGTTGCATTTACAATAACCATTGTTTTTGATGACTGTATAATATATAAGCAAGTGGCTGGGCACCAATTTTTAAAAGCTAATTCTTTATTGTTGAACAGTTAAGGTTTTTTTTCACTTTTTAGTTTTTTTAAATACATAGATCATGGTCATGATAACTATAAACATTTAAACAACAGACAGTACACTTTAGTACTAAAAATGGCAGGGTACTCTGTGAAAAGGTGACTTACCTCTACCACTCTTATATCAGCTGTAAAACACGCCAAGGTTTTGCACTTCCTGCAGAGTAGTTTTTTATTTTCCTTATCAGGTATAGGTTTTGCTTTTTCTTGGCTATCTCTGAGGAGTTTTTCCTGATTCTGTATATAGAGAATCTAATGCAAAAAGAAAGACCTCAAATGTAACTTGAGTATAACTAACAGAAATATATAGAGATCTGTACACATACATACATATGCATGCACACATATATAATCATTCACATATAATTTCCAGACTTTACTGGTTCTCTAACTCAATGTTGATCAACATTTAACTGTGGCCTCCAATTAGCCATTCAATTTCTTCATCAAAATGCCCATAAAAGTACTAAGAATGTCTATAAAATAGTCGTGCATTCTACTTTAGTAGCTGATAAAACCTTAAAAGTACTTTACAAATAGATACATAATATGCACTCACTGTTTCAGGCGTAATTATGTCCACTTCAAGCATACACCCATTGGACAGAATAGTAGGCAAAAGAGTCCCCCTTCGCCCAGTCTAAAATATTTCCTCTCTCCCCTTTGACCACAGAGAATATTGTTGAACTCCAGTAAAGTTAAACACATGTATAGTGTCACTGTATTCTAATTCAAAATGTAGGACTTAGAACCCTGAACGTTATATATTAAACAAACATAAGATTCTGAAGGATGACAAGAGGAAGGCAGACCAGCTAGGAACCTCAAGACCCTAGAAACAACACAGTAGTGAGTTCCCTGAGTTTCCCTTCACCTTATGTATTTCAGACTTGGAGCTAAAGAAGCTGGAAACATGAAATGCCTATGGGTACAAAGAGAATCTCAACCAAGGCCTGCAGTCACTAGCCCAAAAACCAGGAAAGGGGTAGCCTAGCGAGGCAGAGAACTTTTAGACAATAACTATTCTCTACTCCAGTCAAATAAAGCAACTGTGGCCCAACCTCCACCCATGCCAGCACAGGCCACGTGGAGAACCAGGTTTCCACCTCCCAGAACTGGAATGAGGCACCCCAACACTCCTACCTGGTGGTGTCAGAGCAGCACAAGTGGGGAACCAGGACTTTCAGCCCTACTGCCTGGTAATGTAATATCCCCCAAGTCCTACCCCCACCCATGGTATCAGTGGAGACCTTATGGGGAACCAGAACTCCCACACCCACCCAGCAGTACTAAAGAGCCTTCCCCATGCTGGTATCCACAGAGGCTGAGTGGGGAAACTGGATGTATAACTACCTGGCAATGAAGAGGCAGCATCCCCACCTCTCCTGCCAACACAGTGTTAGAAAAAGCCAGACAACACAGAGATTAAATAAGATTTAGAGTTTCATTATAAGAAAATATCCAAGTTTTAATTTTTAAAAATCCACTCTTTCTACCAATAAACAGGAAGGATCTCAAACAATGAAAAAAAAAAGACAATCAATGGTATCCAATACTTTGATGACAAAGATGTTTGAATTATGTGCAAAGATTATAAAATACGTAATAAAAATGCTCCAGTGAGTAATCATACACACTCTTGAAACATGAGAAAATACGCTCAACAAAGAAATGGAAGACATGAAGAACAAAGTGGAAATTTAAAAATATGTCATGTCACTGGAGTCCTACAAGAATAAGAGGCTTAAAAAGTACTCAAAGAGATAATGCTTGAACAATTTCCCAGATTTAACAAGCTTTATAAACTTAGACTCGAAAAGTTGAACAAATCCCAAACAGGATAAACCTGAAGAAAATCACTCACCCTAAGACACACCATAATAAAACTTCTGGAAACTGAAGACAAACAAAAAAAGTCTTGAAAGCAGCCAGGAAAAAAAAATGACATCTTACCTACGGGAAGAAAAGTAATCTGACTAACAGTGGATTTGTCATCAGAAACTATAGAAATGGCACAATATTTTTCAAGTGCAGAAAAAAAAGAATTGTCACACCAGCACCCTAGACTAAGAAAATTTATCCTTCAAAAATGAAGTGGGCGTCAGGCACAGTGGCTCACACTTGTAAATCCCAATACTTTGGGAAACTGAGACAAGATGATTGCTTGAGCCCAGGAGTTTAAGACCAGCCTAGGCAACATAGTGAGACATCACTCCTACAAAAAAAATAACGTTTAATGAGCCAGGTGTGGTGGCATGTGCCTAAAGTCCCAGCTACTCGAGAGACTGAGGTAGAAGGATTGACTGTGCCCAGGAGGTCAAGGCTGTGGTGAGCCGTGATTGTGCCACTGTACCCAAGCCTGGGTGACAGAATGAGGCTCCAACTTAAAAAAAAAAAAGAGGGAGAAACCAAGACATTTCTCAGATGAAGAAAAACTAAGAATTTGTCACCAGCAGACCTACCCGAAAAGAATGGCAGGAGTAAGTTTTCTAAACAGAGAGAAATGATAAATGAAGGAAACTTGAAACATCATAAAAGAAGAAAGAGCATGCTGATTTCATCAATATCATTTTCGGAAGAATCTGCCTGCCCCACTGGTTTATGGTACTGTCTCTTCTGTAGTAGATTATATTTTCAAATGTCCCAGGTGAAGCCAGACAGCTTAGGTGCAAATCCTGCCCCTTACCTGTTACATGATTTTTAGAAAGTGACTTAGTTTCCTGAAATACAAAATGAGAACAATGGCAGCATCTACTTCATGGACTGTTAGGAAGTAACATGAGTTTATGACTGCTCAAGCCATCCTGGGACAGGATAAACGCCCTTTAGTGTTGCCAGCGTCTATTAGGCTAGTCTTATGCTAAGAACCACAAAAATGTGAATGGTAGTGGCTTGTACTTTTGTACTAATAGGGCAATCCTCATTCATTAGTTATTTTTCTAGAAATATTATAGCTATTTTCATCTATTTATTCTTCTACATACATTCTGGAACCATTTTATCAAGTTGAAAATATGATTTATGCTTTGAACATGGTAGCATTAAGTGAAAAAGTAAATTTAGGATGAATGTGCATGTTTAATATACCCAGTCATTCCATTCAAGAGAATGGCATGTCTTTTCTTTTGTCTTAATTTACTTCTATATATCCTAGTAAAACTTTTCAGTTGTCTTTATTTCTACTTCAAACTTTTGTCAATAGGCCAGAAGATGTAGTAGTTAAACAGATGGGCTCTACCAGCTCCACCGCTAACTAGCTGTGTGATCTAATAGCACTGAAGCTCTTTGTGACTCAGTTTCCCTCCTAGAGCCATGGCATAGAGACTCAACTTCATGAATCGCTGTGAGGTTTATTGGTATATACATTAAGTGCTCCAGGACTTGGTGGAAAGTCAGTGTTCTACATACATGAGCTGTAGCTATTGTTGTCACTGTGAATGGAAATCTCCTTCCCCCTTATATCTTTTAACTGGTTACTGATCATACACCGAGAATATATTAATCCCTATTCCGCTTCAAATTCAAGTTAAATTTGTCCCACTGGTTTGTGGTACTATCTCTTCTGTAGTGGATTATATTTTCAAATGTCCCAGGTGAAACCAGACAGCTTAGGTGCAAATCCTGCCCCTTACCTGTTGCATGATTTTTAGAAAGTGCCTTAGTTTCCTGAAATACAAAATGAGAACAATGGCAGCATCTACTTCATGGACTGTTAGGAAGTAGCATGAGTTTATGACTGCTCAAGCTGTCCTGGGACACTTAGATTTACTATTAATATTATAATTTAAGAGACAGGGTCTCACTATGTTGGCTAGACTGGACTCAAACTCCTAGACTTGAGCAATCCTCCTGCCTTCCAAGGAGCTGAGACTACAGGCATGAGCCATCACAACCAGCTAGACCTAGAATGCTTCTATTAAAAAGCCAAATATTATTTTTCCTCCTCCATTGCCTGACCCTATCCTACCTGAAATTATCTTCATTATTTTTGTAAAAATAAAGGGTGTTTATGCCTCCCGTTCTCAATACAGTTTTTCACTGTGACAAAACTGTTATATTATGTGTATTTATCCCATTATATCCTTTGGATAAATTTCTAGAACTGAAATTCCTGGGTTACAGGATATACATTCCCCTATGAACAATTTTAATTTTCTTTTTTTCTGATATGGTTCTAATTCTCACTTGAGGCAGGATGGGGGTGGAGAAAATGTGGTAAGAAACGGGGAAAATATATAAGCTTGCCCCTTGGGCATCCAATCTTTTAAAAAATTCACTTATATCTAGTAGCATTTAATAGTATACTAAAACTCAGTTAAATACTAATCATCGCAAATATTTTAAATATAACTATAGGTGATAGATATAAGTCCTAATAAGTTAAAACTATTACTGCTACCCTTAAAACTAAGTAAAAAAAATCAATAACTGGATAAAAGTCATATGGTGCGCTGCCCCTCCCCCACAACCTGAGGTTGACAAAGAAGTCTCACTCCACACACTGGGATAGAGAAAAGCAAATGATAGCATCCTGATGGTGTGCAATCATGGGTACATATGTTGGAAGTTCTTTGTTCAAAACGAACTTTTACTTCCTGTCTTGTTCTCTGCTCCATGAGGAAAGAAAAGCAGGCTTCCTCATTTTGATTCTAGATAACACTTCACAAACACAACTGTCAAAAATACTATTTATACCTTTTCCCTCCAGAATGAAATGCTACCAAATCCTGAAGCTTCCATCATGGAAATCAGTTCTCAGATACCTCTGGACTGTCTAACATGTGAAGATGGCTGCAAAGTGATCAGGTTATCCCATGGGGCCCCAGTGCTCAAGTGACAGCAGCCACAAACAGTGGACAATGCAGCTGGGAAGAAAGCAGAGAGTTTCACAGCACTCTTGCTTGTCTTTTTCCCTCTCCATCTTCCTGCAGATGGACCTTAAAAGCACCCAACTTTTCCCCTTTCTTCTGTGGAGTTCCTTTCTCTCATTAAAGCCCATCGACAGGGACAAGGATGCTCATATCCAAACCTCAAGCCCTTATCAAAACACCACAGAAGGGGGTCTCACCCCAAGAATCATAGTTACTTTTACTTTTAGGAACATAAGATTTTCCCCACCCCATCACACTTCTACACCTTTGAAAGCAAAGCCTTCTCCTTCCAACAGAGCAGCTGGGCATGGTCATCTCTGATAGGACAGAGATGACAACAAAACTCGTAGCTGCCAGTCACACCTGGCTACATGCATTCTGGACTCCCTCTTATTCTTTACCATCTCTTCTCATCTATTTATGGGTGTTGGGGGAGCCCCAAATGCTATTACATTGCTTAATTCAACAGATATTTAACCCATTTCCTCCTCACCCCACTCTTTGTCTGGGTGTGCTGGCTCCAAAAAAAAATGCCTATGTCTGTCTGTTCCAGTCCCCCTGTTCTTCCACAGACTTTCAATCTATGAGTCTAAGTAGTTTGTCACCCAGTGGAGGAGATTAAAAACTATGCCACAGTTTTAAAGTCTTTACTGGCAACATCCCAATATTCTACAAAATAAGCAGGTGGTGGCTCAGGGAGAAAAGAACCCTCTTCTCAAAACCAAGGGAGGAACTGAAAATTTTCCTAGTAATTCTTCTCACTGAAAATGTGGAGGAAGTAGTTTTAGACAGCTTAGTCATCCAGGAAGACTTTTTTTTTTTAATGAGTAAACACTGGCATAAAGTTATAATTTTGTCCCAAAGTAAGTGTTAATTTTGCTTCAGATCATTGCTTCTCAATGATTTTGGAACACAGAGATTATAACTTTTTAAAAATTATGGATACTATGGAGTTAGTCTACCGAATTGTAAGGTTCATCTTCATGAAGTTAAACTATGTCTCATGCCTCTATTCAACAATGGATCTCATTTCTTGAGCATTTATTCTATAGCAGGCACTGTTCTAGGCAAAGCATGCATCTCATTTTATCCTCACAACCGCCCTGTGAGCTAAATACCATTACTTTCCCAACTTTACAAATGAGGAGATTGATTTAAAAGACAGAGTAAATGACTGAGGTCACATATCTTGCAAGTGGCAGAAGTGGGATTTGAACCACAAATTCAGTGTTAAAGCTCTCCTCTCCATTAGCCCTGTAGTGTTCAATGCTTCCAGGTATTCTGAGAGGAAAAGCTCTGCAAAGGGTCTGGAGAAAGTGTGAGTGTGTATGCATGTGATTTTATGCGTCTGTGTTATAAAGGAAATTACAATATAATGAATGCCACTACCGAGAGATTGATCTGAACAGTTTTGCCACTCCAAGGTATACATTATGGTCCATAGCTACAGTATCCTCCAGTGATCTGGGGGCTTTTTTCTGAGGATTCTATAGATGGTAAAGAGAGATTCGAGGAAAAGACTAAGAAGAGCTATTCTTTGCAGTGTTAAAAGATAGACCTCAATATGAACCATCTACTTAAGAGCAATTTTCTAGCTCAGTTTGCCTTTTAGATCTAAAAGCATAACTACAGGTATTACCAACAGTAAAATCTATTTTAATCTTACTGACACTTAAAAACAGAATTTGAATTTAATGTTCACTGCAAGACAAATCTAAGCATCAGCTTATTGTTCTAACAAAATACTCTGAGCAATATGATAAAATAAAGCAACCATGCTCACATTCCCTGTTACTCATGGACAGATTTTGAAAGAATAACACAGACTTACCTTTTCTTTAAATACAGCTTCATCCCATTTCTGAAGGTTTAAAATGGAGTCATTCATCATTTTTTCTTTGCATATGTTTATTTTTTCTTTCTCAATGACATCATTATTACTAGTCAGAAGGAAACACTTGCTACCTTTTGCTCTTCCTCTGCCTATCAGAAAATAAATATTTTATTTGGTGTTCTTAACTTGAAGCTCTGATATCACCTGAGAATAGGTAAACAAATGTATAGAAATATTCCTAAAATTCAACTTTGGTTCACTGAATCCTGCTTTCTAGGGGAGCTGAGCTGTTAAAAGAGTGGGCTCAAATGCAGGTGAGCACCTACAGGTTAGGCTTGTGGATAAAATAGGAGCTACCTCAATTCCTAAAAGATATAAAAACCAACCTCCCATAAGATCCTGCAATCCCCCTACTGGGAATATATCCAGAGGAACTCAAATCACTCTATGAAAAAGATACCTGCACACGCATGTTTATTGCAGCATTACTTACAATTGCAAAAACACGGGACTAAACATGCTGCCCATCGAAAGAGGGTTGGATAAAAAAAATGTGGTCCATACATGATGGAATATTACACAGGCATAAAGAAGGACAAACTTATGAACTTCACAGCAACTTGGATGAACTTCAAGTCTATAATAGAAACAAAGAACTGTGTATCACATGCTCTCACTCATAAGAGGACCTTGAACATCTATTGTAACACTATAAGAAAGGGATTGGCAGTAGTGGGAAACTGCCAGGGGAGGGGGCACGGGATTGGCAGTTGAGGGAAGTTGCCAGGGGATGGAGGGGCACACCTCATCAACAAGGGCACCTGCATAATGAACATTTGTATACCTAACCCCGAATTGTACCCCACATCTTTAAAATAAAATTTTTTTTTAAAAATAGGAGCCACCTTAGACTGGTGTTCTTAGGGGTTCCAACAATGTAGCGTGTCCACAACATCAGTGTGACTGAACAGCCATATTATCAGAAACAGTGCTTTAATGATAATCCTACACAAACCCTCAGTATGACACTGTGATGGCTCTGAGATGAATAATTTGAGTGAAAGGCTCCCTCAAGAGCCTTCTAGGCAATGGGGAAACAAGATATGTTCACAACCAGCAGAACACAGGCAGAAAATTATAAGTGCTATTACAAAGATAGATACAAAGAGTTATAAGCATTCAAAAGAGAGATTATCGCCAGCTGAGGAAATTAGGGTTGGGGGATATGAAGCCAGAGGAAGGAGTAAAATGAAGAGCAGTATATAAGCAATTCCTTCAACAAGCAATAAATGAGGAAGTCAGGTTGGTTGAGGTAGATAATGAACAACAGGGAAGAATGGGAAATAAAGTTGGAAAGATGAGAGGGTGCTACATTTTGAAAACTCTTTGACAACAGGTAAATTGGGGAACCACTGGAGTTTCTGTATAAGGAAGTGAAATGCTCAGAGATATTTTTCAGAAAAAGTAATGTGGCAGCTGTTAGGGAAGTTGGAAAAAAGAAAGGAAAAAGAAAGAAAGACTAGTTAGGAGACTATCTAGTGCAGGTGAGATAGAAGTACTCTGGAGTATCACTTCTGAAATACATGGAGCCCACCAGCCCACAAGCACCACCATGAAAGGGTCACATGTTGACTGGCAAAGCCTCAATTCAAGTTGGAGTTATCCTTCCATAAACACATCAGTCGATGTTGGGCAAGTAAGTAGTATTGTTGTGAACAAGAATCAAAATAGGGTTTATGTTAGTGGATAAAAGTGTAACCACCCAATCTTGACCAAACAAGCTACCTTTTAGGGCAATGATGCCGGGTCTGCTATGCCAGGTCAACCTTGGCTCAGTAAGTTTAAGGTTAGAATGACAGACACACTCGCAAATCAGACAAAATGTAAGTCTTGTAGGAATGGAATCAAAGCTTCTCTCACCTCTTGTTTGGATCATTTTGATGACATTTCCCACATACTCATACAGGATGACAAGATTGCACTGAGCAATGTCGATTCCTTCATCAGCAACTGAGGTGGCAATCAGAATATTGTTATCTCCACTGGCTCTGAATGAATCCAGTATACACTTCTGTGCTGGGAGAGTCATTCCTATGTCAGAGTAAGAGGGAATTATACAACTCATCAAAAAAGGAAACCTCCCCCATGAAAAAATAGCTACTAATTATGTTATGTTTATTACATGCCAGGTACTGTGATAAGTACTTTATATGCATGATCTCACAACACACATAGACCGTGGGGTCTATTCCTATGCCCACTTTAGAGAGGACATTTATGGTGGCATCTAACAGCTTGGACTCTGCCACAGGCTGCCTGACTTTAAATCCCAGCTTTGGCACTTGCTTGTTGTGTGGCATTAGCCATATTATCCCAAGAAATATTGACTTTTTTGCAAACATATCCACAGCTAATTATAACCTCTTTACATGTATATACAGGTGTGTAGCTAACAAAACATTTTCACATCTTCTTACTCACTGGAGCTTCACAACGCCCCTTTAGGTCAATGGTTCAAGTGTTAAGATGAGGCCCTTGAGGTCCTGGAGGTGTGATAAACTAACAGGCTAGCTATTAACAGAGTCAGGCCTTGAACTTAAGTCCAAGACCCAAATGGTGTGCACTCTTGGGGTGTCTCGCCACTGCCACACACACATCTCTATTCTCTAAGAGTCATATTGGCCATAAACACAGGGGTGAAACCCTGGGTAGCTATAGTTATATTATGTTTCTCTATGAAACAGGCAATGCTATCTGTTCACCATACCCTGTTTCTTTCTTCGCTCAGCACAAAGCTAAATTATATTTCCCAACCTTCCTTGCAGTTAGGTAGGGCCTTATGACTAAATTCTCACTAATGATATGCAGCAGGCAGAAGTCATGCATGTCTCTCTATAACCCCACCCTTAAAAATTGTCTGTGCTCTTGTTATTCTGCATAAGGAATAACAAGGTCATAGTGGAGGACTTGGACACCCCCTGGGATGACAGAGCCATAACAAGGAAGGCACCTGAGTCCCTAAAATAAGTGGAGGTGCATGGAGCACAGTCCTCCTCCCACCTACACTTGAACTGTGAATGTAAGCGAGCAATAACTTTTATTGTGTTTTGCCCAAGATTGTGGGGTTGTCTGTTAGAGCATTTAGATCACCCTGATTTACACAGAGCCTGTTCCTGGCTGAAGCTACTGGATTGAAATAAGCATCCAAATACTGTTGGGCAAATCAGATTCCTCCTCTTGTAATCTGAAATTTGGAGACAGGTGGTAAATCAGGAGGGTGATGAAAGTCAAGAATGGAGAAGCAGAAAGGGCAGTCTGTAAAAGGAAAAGGATAAAGCAGATATACAGGATTTTCAGAAGACTTTCCAGTCCCAGTTGCAACTGTCTGTGAAGCCCAAGTGCACTTTTTGGTCATGGTTTCTATGGCAGACTTGATTATCCTTACAGCCAGCCCTCCCTTCTGCTTAGAGTAGCCTAAGTGGGATTCTGTTAATCGTGGGGGAAAAAGATCTTAACTAAACAGCCACATACTGTCTTCTAATATTCTATCATTATGGAGGCTAAATTTAAAATTTCTGAACACAGAGTGAAGTTAGGATGTGATAATCACCTGTGTGATCACAGCAAACACCCAAAATTGTGGCTCACAGAATATGCACACTAAAGTTCAAACGTTATGGGTCCCAAAGACCCATCTACATTTATGTATTAGTGGAATCACCTTTTGATCTCCATTCACTGTTCACAAAGCAGACCCATCTCAGACAGTAGAAGGTAACACTTTTCTTCACACAGTGAGTTCTCAGAGTTTGAGAAAGATATTTTATGATTTTTGAATTATTTATAATTCAGTCAAAAAATTCAAATAAAGGCAAAAAAAATTTTTCTTTAAAATTCTGACTCTCATTCTGTCACCCAGGCTGGAGTACAGTAGCACGCTCATGATTACCACAACCTTGACCTGCTGGGCTCAGGTGATCCTTCTGCCTCAGCCTTCTAAGTAGTTGGAACAACAGGCATGCACCACCACGCCCAGCTAATTTTTGGATTTATTGAAGAGACGAGGTCTCGCCAAGTTGCCCGGGCTGGTATCAAATCCCTGGACTCAGGCAATCCTCTTGCCTCTGCCTCCCAAAGTGCTGGGATTACAGGCATGAACCACTGTACCCAGCCGGCAATTTTATTTTTGTTGCATTTTATTGTTTAACAATCAATCCCTAAATATTATCTTGATTTTACTTTTGAGTTTTTTTTATTCAGAATACTCTTTCTTTTTTAAATTTAAGATACATGCCTTCTATTCCTTCTGATTCCATGTATTCTCAGTAAAATCAAAACCAAACAAGCAAATATGGGGACTACTACATATATACTGTATGTATATATCAACTAATATTTAACATATATTGAGAACTCAACATGGGTCAGGACTGTCCTAAGCCAGAGCCAGCAAACATTTTCTGCAAAGGTCTGGATAGGTAGTAAATATTTTGAGCACTGTGGGCCATACTGGCGTAACTACTCAGCACTGCCTTTATAATGTGAGAGCAGCTACAGACACTACATCAATGAAGGAGCATGACTATGCTCCCCCCAAAATAAAGTAAATTTTTGGACACTGAAAATTTGGATTTCATATACCTTTCTCAAGTCATGAAATATTCTTTTGATTTTGTTCAACCAAAAATCATTCTTAGCTCAAGAATCATTCAAAAGCAGGCAGTGAGTCAGATTTTACTATTCACATTAACCTTAAGAACTGGGCACTATTTTCTTTTCATTTGACAGATGAAGAAAGTAAGCCATAAAAAGGTTAGGTAACCCACCTCTTCACAAAATAGAAAATTTTAAAATGGAAACTTGGAAATATTTAAACATAGCAAACTGAACTTGCAACTATTTACCTGCAGCTATGTAAAAGTTCACAGACAATTATTCTAGTTTAAGTGTGAATGGAAGAGGAACAGACCAAAAAACTTCAGTTAAAATCATCTTCATTCCCTGGTAAAATAAGTTTAATCTATTTGATAAAGCCATAGCTCACACTGTCACACTGAATTTCAGTGGTCTGCAGAATTAATGCAATTTATAAAAGTTCCAATTTTTTTCTAATATATTGCCAGTCAAAATCTTGAGGCAAATTTTTCTAAGGCCAAAAAAATTTTTTTACCATATTGTACTAAACAATAAACATCCCCACAATAGCCATCATACTTCATTAATTCCTAAATGTGTTCATTCATTCATAAATCAAACATTTATTCAGCAATTATGGCTTGTCAGATAATGATATAAGGGTTTAAAGGGCCATTTTATCCACAAGGAGCTTATATTTTGTGAAAGAAAAATATAAATAGAAAGCTATCATTCAGTGTGATAAGCAAAGAAAGAATGTTATGGGATGCAGAGGAAGCCCCGCTCTACCAGTTTTTGGAAGCTGAGGAAGGCCGTTTGGCAGAAGCACAATGCCTGGGACAGAGTAAGTGCTAAATAAATGCTGTTGAATGGACAGATGAATACATGAATGAACAAATAAAATGTTTTCTGAGTATCTACTTGTAAGGAAAGAGCAAAGTTTGAAAATCAAGCCAGACCCATGTTAAGAGTCAGATTGCAAAGAACTTTGAATTCCAACTACAAGAATGTGGTGTTCGAATTCATTTGGTAAGCCACTTTTAAAGATCTCAATCTATTTTTCATACTTATGAAGTTTAGAAATTGCATGAAGGGAAAGTGTAAGGGTGATGACTGAGGACTGACAGAATGGGTATGAGGGGGGCTGCTTATTACAATCAGCACTAAATAGGAAAACCTAAGGGAAGACCTGTCACTTCCAGTCTCTGAGGAATGGGGAGCACAGGGGTGAGAATGTCAGGATGAGGGTGGGCTTCCTAGAATCCTTTTGGGTGATAACAGAAGCAGCCTTTCATCTTTTAACCAGCCCAGCTAGATTTCAGAATTGTCAGCTTGAACTTTTTTTAAGTTGTAAAATATATAACATACACAAAAGCTGTATATCTGCAGTTTAAAGAGTAACAACAAAATAGAAACAGAACATTTCTATTTCTAGTTAATCTATTGGTTGAGAATTTGAGTAGGAGAGTGATGCGCTCAAACAGAGCTTGAAAAACAATCTTGGCTTTGTCTGCAGGACACATGAGAGGAGACAATGTTTACAGGGAAAAAGAATACAGTTGGTATTTAGTATTTGACCATTGTGATGGACTTTTGATGCATTAACTTGGCTAGGCTGAACTAGTTTCCAGTTATTTATCTGGGTGCTGCTCTGAAAGGATTTTGTAGATGTGATAAAAGTCCCTAATCAGTTGACCTTAAGTCGAATCAAAAGGGAGTTTGTTCTAGGTAGGCCTGACCTAATCAGGAGAGCCTTTTAATACAGGGCTTAGGCCTTCCCTGAACTCAGAGACTCCAAACAGCTCATGCCTGTGGGATTGTACCCTGTTCTTGATATTCCCTTCCTGATTGTGTGCCTTATGGACTTCAGACTTGCTTTGCCAGCTCAACTGTGTAAGATAGTTCCTCATAAGACTCATACTGTATACATGTATAATCTCTAGTACAGTATACTAAATCTAATTCACTACATGTAAATACTTATGTTCTGATTCGTTTTGCCATGTCCGGTCAATATGCCAGGCTTTAGAAAGCTGAGATTAGAATTTTCTTCAATCCATTTCTTTAAAGCCTGAAAATGAAAAGCAATTATCAGTTGGACACTACTTGTAAACCATTTATAGTAATTCAATATTGAAATATATGCAAAAGAAAAAACTTTATATTAGCATACATATAGTTTTCAGACTAACAAACATGAAGGAAAAGGCTCCTTGGAATTGAATGCTATGCAATAATTAACTATAGTGGTATAGATCTTTGTGATCTGGTATGGCTTAAACACTAATATATTTTCAAGTGATAAAAGTGAAGTTCAGGCCAGGTTTGGTGGCTCAGCCTGTAATTCCAGCACTTTGGGAGGCTGAGGCGACTGGATTGCCTGAGCCTGCAGGTTCGAGACTGGGCAACTTGGCGAGACCTCATCTCTACAATAAATCAAAAATTAGACAGGCATGGTAGGTGCACCTGTAGTTCTGGATACTTGGAAGGCTGAGGCGGAAGGATCACAGAGCACAGCAGGTTTGACGCTGGGGTGGCCTTGAGCAGGCCACTGTACTCCAGCCTGGGCAATGGAGTGAGACTCCAATTCCAAATTTTTAAAAAGTGAAGTTCAGAATAGTGAGTAAGTAGAATAAGCAAGTTCATCCAGCAAGATTGCAGAACATAAGAACAATATACATAAATCAACCATATTTTTACATATGAGTAACAAACAACTGGAATTTGAAAAGTTTTTAAACCGTCATTTACAGTGGCATCAAAAAATTAATATCTAGGTATAATTCTAACAAAATATGTACAGAATCTCTATGCTAAAAATGACAAAACATTGGTATCCTCTGAGATAGCCCTCCATGATCTCCATCTTCCTGTATTCAGACTCTTGGGTAATTCCCTTTCCTGACTATGAACTAGACATATTGACTTGCTTCTAATGAATAAAATAGAACAGATGTGATGGGACATTACTTTCAAGATGATTAGGCACTCTTTCTCAATCTCTGGGATTGCTCATTTTATGGGAGGCCAGCATCCAGGCTGTGAGACAGCCCTGTGGAAATGCTCACATTAGAGAACACAGATGCATTTCTTCTATGATCAGTCATGTTAGGTGAGCTTGGAAGCTGACCTTCCCCAAGTCAAACCTTGACATGACTGGAGCTACAGCCAATACCAACACTGCGCCTCATTTGAGATCTTCAGCCAGAAACATCCAGTTAAGTTGTTTTCAGATTTCTAGCCCATAGATGGTGTAAGATAATAAAAGACACTAAGTTTAGGGTTAATTTGTTACTCAGCAATAGATGACTAATACAGAAACCCTATGCAAATAAGATATATATTATGGTCATGGATTGGAAAACTTGATATTGTGAAGATGTCATTTCTCCCCAATTTTATCTATAGATTCCATAAAATCTGAGCAAATTTCTTCATAGATGGGGACAAGCTGACTCTAAAATATACATAGAAAGGCAAAGGAGCATAGCTACAAATGATTTTTAAAAACAGTTGGAGGACTCATACTACTCTATTTCAAGACTTACTATAAAGCTACAGTAATCAAGATAGCATGGGATAGATGAAGAGATATACGTATAGATCAATGGAAAAGAGTAGAGATTCCAGAAATAGATCCATGCAAATATGGTTAATTGGGTTTTTTTAAGTTGCAAAGGCAATTCAGTAGAGAAAAGATAGGCTTTTCAACATACAGTGCTGGAACAATTGGATGTCCATATACAAAAAGAAAATATCTCAATCCATACCTCATACCTTACACAAAAATGAATTCAAAATTGATAGTAGACCTAAGTGTAAAATGCAAAACTATAAAACTTCCATAACCTAGAGAAAAATCTTTGTGTCCTTAGGTAAGCAAAAGGTTCTCAGGTATAATACAGGCAAAAGTTCACAAAATAAAAAATTGATATACTGGACTTTGTCAAAACTTAAAACTTTCAGCCTGCAGAAGATACTGTTAAGAGAATGAAAAGACAAGCCACAGACCAGAAGAAAATATTTGCAAATCACATTTTTGGACAGATGATTTTTTTTAATCAGAAAATAAAAAGAGGCTGGGCTCAGTGGCTCAGCCTGTAATCCCAGCACTTTGGGAGGCTGAGGTGAGTGGTTGCCTGAGCCCGTGGTTTCAAGACCAGCTTGCACAACTTGGCGAGACCTCTTCTCTAAAATAAATAAATGAACAATTAGCTGGGCGTGGTAGTGCATGCTTGTAGTTCCAGCTACTTGGAAGGCTGAGGCAGAAGGATCACCTGAGCCCAACAGGGTGACACTGCGGTGGCTGTGAGTGTGCCACAGCACTCCAGCCTGGGCGACAGAGTGAGACTCCAACTCAAAATAAAAAAAGATAAAGAAAAAGAATTCTCAGAAACTCAACAATAAGATGATAAACAAACCAATTATAAAATGGGTAAAAAATCTGAATAGACACCTCACCAAAGCAGATATAGATAGCTAATAAGTATATGAAAGATGCTCATCCATATTAGTCATTAGTGAAATGCAAATTAAAACCCAAGTGAGATACCATTACATACCCACAGAATTGATAAAATTCAACATTTGAAAAGAAGTACATAAAAGGTGAAGTGCTTGTTCTACAGATATCAAAACTTACAATCAAGATATTGAGGCAGTAGTGTAAGAATAAACAAATAAATAATTAGAACAGAACAGAGAACCCAGAAACAGACCCACACATATATGGATGGACTGCAGAACAGTGGGGAAAGGGCAGTCTTGTCAATGAGTGGTGCTGCATCACTCTGTCATCCACAGCTGGCCAGATGTGGCAGCTCATGCCTGTAATCCCAGCACTTTGAGAGGCCAAGGTAAGAGGATCGCTTGAGAGTAAGAGTTCGAGACCAGTTCTGGGCAACAGAGTGAGACCTCGTCTCTGCAAAAAAGAAAAAAAAAGAAAAACTAGCCAGACGTGGTCCTAACTATTCGGGAAACTGAGACAGGAGTATCACGTGAACCCAGGAGGTGGAGGCTGCAGTGAGGAAAGGATTGTGCCACTGCACTCCAGCCTGGGCAACAGAGTGAGACCTTGCCTTTAAAAAAAAAAAAAAAGGAGAAGGAGAAAGCCAACTTACATCCACAAGTGCTCTGGTTTTCACAAAGAGAATCGTTTTTGTCTCTTGGTTGAAGTGATACTCTTCTTGTAAGACGAAGCAGAGGTCTTCAAGTTTAGGGTTCTCATTGCTGGGATCCCTGGAAATACTTTCTAGTTCCTGCAGCTTTTCTGCAAATAAGGAACGTTTTATAAATGATTTACAAATTCTAAAAATGTAGAGCACTCCGTGATCTTTAGCTAAAGTTCAAACAGTTAATTTCTCAATCTTGGACCAGAATCTTATGAGTGATAACTATTGATTTAAATTGGTACAACTTTTTAGGAAGGCAATTTGGCAATATCTACCAAAACATAAAACTCACATATCCTTTGATCCAATAATTTGAGACAGTTATTTTTAGAAAATTACAGAAGAGATCTTCAAAAATGTTCACTGTACAATTGTTTAACGTATAAAAGAAAAATAGAAAACAACCTAAATGCCCAATAAGAGGGAAGCAGTTCAATAGATCATGAGCTATGCAAGCAATGTTAATATGATGTGGCTATTAAAATTAATAAGGGGGCGGGGTGTGGTGGCTCACGCCTATAATCCCAGCACTTTGGGAGGCTGAGGTGAGAGGATTGCCTGAGCCCACAGGTTCGAGACCAGCCTAGGCAACTTGGCAAGACCTCATCTCTACAATAAATCAAAAACATTAGTCAGGTATGGTGGTGCATGCCTGTAATTTCAGTTACTTGGAAGGCTGAGGCAGAAGGATCCCCTGAGCCCAGCAGGTCGAGGCTGCGGTAGCCGTGAGCGTGCCACTCACTCCAGCTTGGCCGACAGAGTGAGACTCCAACTCAAAACAAAACAAAACAAAGTTAATAAGGGCTCCATGTATATCATGATATGTAAAAACTTCAAAGATATTTTAAAGTTAAAAAAAAATCAAGGTATAGGACAGTGTGTTCAGTATGATCTCATCTTTAAAAACACAAAGTTATAAAACTGTGGTGTGCCACAGCCAGATCATACCAGACCATGACAGCCAACTGTTAAATTAAAGAATTAAGTGAGTCAGTTTTAAATACAGCCATTGTTAAAAATTCAATAAAATAAACTTACAATTCAATGATGTATATTATAAAAAAGTACAAATAGTCAAAACTCATGATTTCCTAATATTTTATAACTTTTAACTATTATTCATGCTCTTAAGGTTATTTACATCTATTGTATGTGTGGTAGAAATTAGAATGATGTGCTTCTGTCCATCCTTTCTAACACTAGTTCAATGACATCATGTTGGTGGCTTAAAATCGACTATGGTGGAAGCATTTACACCATGGAAATAAAAAAACACACACACACACACATTAAAGTGCTTTAATTTATTGCTTTGTTGATAATCTAGACTTATGAGAGTGATTTAAATAGAATAATGCACATTAAATTTAGCTTTTACGTCATGAATAGTACAAAAAAATGAGGAAATAGTCTCCAAGTTTTTGAAAAACTATTATACAATTCATTTAAAAGCTGCTCATCACTACACAAATGAGTGAAGTTTCAACATATGTTTTTGTTGTTTTATTTTTATCTTAATTCTAACATTGATGATAATATATACCACGTGCCGTATCAGAACTGCATTTCTTTGTCAGTTGCAACCCTTGGTTGACTATGGATACAAGAGTTCTGCAAAAATATACTATGAGAATTAATTGGCTATATGGAATCTACAATAAAAAGTATTGTATTTTTATTATTTGCAAATTGTGAGCTATATACATCTTCTATATCAATAAAATTATGATAAACTTAAGTATGTACATATGCATACATTTTTCCCCCAGAAAAATGGTTGTTAAATATTTACCAGAAAACCACTGTTACACGTGTGTATAGTAAATACTTAGGTATAGCCAACAAACTGAAATTATTAGCAATGATTACCTTTGGAAAAAGGAACTCAAGAGAGGGAGAAGGAAAATTAACTTTTTTGTTTAATATCTTTCTATATTTTTTGTTAATCATATGAGGGCTTTGAGATTATGCGCTGTTTTTGTTGTTCTTATATATTAAGTGCATATAAATGGTAGTTTTTTAATACCATTAAAACATTTTTTTGCATTTTTAAAATCTTTATAAAATTGCTAAAAGTTAAACAATAAGAATGCTACTATCTACCAACTATTTGGGAAGTACACTTTGTAAATCCTATTATTTTTCCTTCTTCTGAGTAGGAAATCATATAAGCAACAAAATCTCTCTATAGGTACTAGATCTAACCAAAGTTAAGTAGTCCTACCATTTATAATATCTTCTGACACTCAGGATAACTCCCTGAGCATCACCAAACTTATATACACTAAATACAATACATGTGTGTATTGCCACTCCAATCACTAGACTCCAATGGCTTCCTCCTCTGAAAACACCACCAACCTTCAAATCTCCGAGTAAGATCTTGCTCAATCTCATTGAATCCTGCTGCTCGGACATTGCTAAAGAAGTGTTTCAAGTAATCCAGAGCATCTTTCATTCGTGCGTGTTCATTGATAATGAGGGCATCATTATATTTCTGTTTAAAATAAAAACCGGGTTTAAATATGCTTCCAATGTCTAACATATTCACTGTACTTAAGTTCAATTAGCTGTAGATAAGGAATTCGTTTTAAGACACTTTTCCTTTTAAAGCTATTCCGACTTAGTTTTATTAAGATGAGTGGCCCCCTAACTGTTCTGTGACAAAACCAAATACTGTTTTTAAAAATCCCAATTTGCTAGAAACATTAATTAATTAAATCAACTTCCACATCAACCTGCCTCACAATCCAAATATTCCATTTAATTTCTTTATACACCCGAAGTCATCACTAAACTGTCAATACACATTTCGAAATGAAGGTCCTGGACACCTACACCAAAGTATAATTAAGCCAATTAAAATCCTACGAAGGCAAGCTAATTGAATGCATTTTAAATATTTTCAAGCCGGGCTTAGTGGCTTAGCCTGTAATCCCGCGCCTATGGGAGGCTGAGGTGAGTGGATTGCCTGAGCCTGCGGGTTCGAGACCCGCCTGGGCAACTTGGCGAGACCTCATCTCTACAATAAATCAAAATGAGCCGGGTATGGCAGCGCGTGCCTGTAGTTCCAGCTACTTGGAAGGCTGAGGCGGAAGGATCGCCGGAGCCCAGCAGGTCGAGGCTGCGGTGGCCGGGAGCAGCCACTGCACTCCAGTCTGGGTGACAGAGTGAGACTCCAACTCAAAAGAAAAAAAAAAATTTTTCAAAGGCAGGATAAGCAGAGGTGATGGCTGTCACTGCTGTTCCTTAACTTCTTGGTTAACTAGAAACCCTGGATTTCTAAGCATGGAGATTTACTAAAAGTAAGAAAACAGGCTACAGGAAATAGCAACAGAACCCACTTGTTGAACTTAAGGATAGCTGTCACTGTCACATATCTAGAATAATGTTCTCTCATCATCACCCAATTTTTCTTCAACCATGTCAATTAATGCTGGAGACGTGGCATAGAATCTGTGGCCTCCAATATAAAGTTTCAGAAAGCAAACTAAGACGATGCTGAACAGAACAACCTTTGGAGTTTGCTTCATAAGAACTTTCTGAAAAGGTTCCTAAGCAAGCTCCAGGGGATAGCATGAGAAGTTGGTGTTCTCTCAGCTACCACAGCGCCGCACCCAGTAGGTGCTATGACTAAAATATGCCTTTATAAGGAGGAACATACCCGCAAATGGGAAGTGTACAAAAACAGCGCTTTACAAATCCTGCTTTCTTCATCTTTGTCTGGCATCTTGAACACTGAGCATTCTTTCTGAATTGTGACAATCCATTGTTCATATTTCTGTGTTCCAAATTCCCTATTTTTAATTTGAGACAGGCTTTCTGGAAAAAAAAAAAAGTTTTTCACTGTGCCATATGGTCATTCATTTAAGGTTCCAAACATGCTTCACCCTCTCATTTTCTTTCTTACTCTCTATAAACAGGGTATTCTTCCTGAAATAGTCTAAGTTTTAAGCCACATATCTGTATATGTGTGTACATATGTGTGTGTATACATATATAAATGGTTGTTTTCTGAGTACTATGTGCCAAGAATTAAAATGCCTTGCATTCGTAATTTATTTAATTTTCACAACTCCATGAGGTACAGATTACATTTTACAGATGAGGAAACAGAAGTTTAGAAAAGCTAAATAATTTACCCAAAGTCACACAGCAAGTATGTTGGGAGAGGACAGGAATTCAAAGCCAGTTATGTCAGATGCCCAAGCTCTACTGGCTCTACGAGCTGACAATCAAAGCAGCCCAAAGGTAAAACAGGCGACTGGCAGTACAGAAGATGAACCATCAAGTATTTATTGAATGTAGGTAGGTGTGAAAATAACCTGAGAAATTTGAAAATGAGCAGTTGACAGGATTTGGACTGGTGAAAAGCTAAAGGGAGGATACTTGAGGAGGGAGAAGTAAGAAAGTCAAAATTCAAGTGACTTTTCATCACCATCTCTCCATCCTCCTGCCATTTCCCCAACTCCAACCACATCATTGAGCTCCTGGATAATATGACAATCCCCTCCCTACATATTGCCCTGTTCCCTCCAATCTATTCCCCAGCCAGCAGCTAGAGGGAGCTTCCAAAATCACAGATGAGAAACCATGCTACCCCACTGCGTAAAAGCCTTTTGTGGGGTAGCATGGTCAAACTCCTACCCAGGTCCTATGCTCCTCTTCTGTGATCTGGCCTCTGCTCGTTCCTGATTCTCCTGTCCAGTCACTACCCTACCTGCATTTCACAGAACTAATGGAAGAACCCATGTTCTCTCTAGTTCCTAGTCTTTGTACATGCTGTTCCCTCTGCCTGAAACACATCTCATCACCACCATCCACCCACCCCACCCCCATCTGCCTTATTATTACTTGTTTAATTTTGGCTTTACCATTAGACTGGAAATTCCCTGAGGACAGGGGCTGTGCCTCAGGGTTCATGCTGTATTCCCATCACCCAGCACATTTCCTAGCACTGAGTGAACGGATAAATGGATGCACATGTTCAAGGATTCAGGTAGTGAAGTAAAAGATAAATGTGAGAATGATAAGTAGAACCAGATTGCTCAGGCAAAGCTCACACTGTCAGGTTGGAGAGTTTAAAGATCACCCCGTAGGCAAAGGGTTTTAAGCAGGATTGCAGCAAGATAAAACTGGTATTCGTTAATGAGGAGTTGAATGGAAGAGAGAGTAAAGGGGGCAAATCAGCTAGAAGGCTTATAGAAAAGTTAGAATACATCAACAATGGTAACTGCATAATGAACATTTGCATACCTAATCCTGAATTGTACCCCACATCTTTAAAATTTTTTAAAAAGGGAATGATAATAATCAGACCTAAAACCAAAATAAAAATTAGAATAGAAAATACGCTGTGAAAGAAAAAAAGCAAAATAAGTTCAAGAGGAGGAGAGACAGCATGAGGGGTCTTGCAGACATCACAAATTCAACATCTCCAAAACCTGAAACTCATCTTGTACCTGCCAAACCTGCTACTGGTCCTGGAACCAGGACCTCCCCTACTGGCATATACACAGATGCCCAAGCCAGAGCCTGGGAGGAAGTCACCCTGCTCTCCCCTCTCTCACTCCCACCCAAATTTAGTTAGCCCTTCACTCTCAATACTTCCAGGTGGAAGTATCTCACACACGCCTCCTCCCTTCTCCAATCCATCTCCACTACCTCTGTTTGGTCCTTTTCATTCACTGGGATCCTTATCACATCACTAATCAGTTTTAAATTTTAAGGTTTTTTTGCCACTGATTTTAGGATAAAGTTCAAATCCAGGTTGGCTTACTGGACCCTTCACTGACTGCCCCTGGCCCCTCTTTCTTTAGTCTCACTCCTCTCCACAACTCACAGGTTAGCATGTCATGAAATGCTTGCAGTTCTTAAAACTTACTATGTTCTTTCTTGCCTCTATGCCTGCCACCTTTTCAACCTCATGTGAATCCCTCCTTCTGAACTTGGCTGGTTTCTTCAAGATGTGTCTCAAATATCAGCTCAAAGCTCCCACAAGCCACCCAATGTGTGACTGACCTGCCACATGGAAACTATCCATATGATTCCCATTATTTGACAGTGAGTTTTCCAAGGACAGGAACTAAGTCTTTAATCATAGTATTTTCACTAGCTAACTGAGCACCTGGCACGATAACTATTGATGAATGAATGAATGAATAAAAAGGAGAACCAAATGGATGACTGCACGAAGGGGTTTCAAAAGAAAAAAGAAGCAAAGATCACTCCTAGGTTTGAATCTGAGCCAGCAGGGGAATGATGGCTTCATTCACATAAACAGGGAAGTTAGGGTAGAAAGCTGATTCGGAAGGTCATAAAAGAGATGAACTGCTTTGAATATAGTATTTTGTTTAAGTGTGCATGTCCAGATGAACTTACTTTGGATTTATAAAGAAAAAAGCAAGGGAGAATAAAGGAGGACTCATATATAACCAACACTCAAGAACAACAATCTCTTGATATGTTCTTGACCTAGTATAGTCTGAACTAAAGAGAATGAAAACAGAAAATGGTAAACAATATATGCTATTCCCAAATGGAGAGGATACAAAATATGAGATCTCACCAATGTCTTCATAGATGCTCTTTGCCAGATTTTCTATAGCCCTCATCAGCTGAGACATGATGCATTTAAATTTGTCAGTAGTCCGTGATTCCACTTTCCTGAAAACTAGAACCATCAAAGCAAAGTGAATATTTTTCAGGAAGGACAGAGCATACTTAAGTATCCATGTCCAAACCCTTCTCTGCTTTTGTTACTTCCTCCAGAAAGCCTGAGGTCCTGCACTCAATGATATAACAAATGCTCAAAAACCTCACAATTTCTCCCTATTGCTTCCTGCACTGATTCTAACATCTGTCTTTTATGGTCTGGGTCTAATCCAGCTTCTCTCTCTGGTTTACCTGTTACCTCTGCTCTGACAAGGCTGGTATCCCTCCTGTCCCTGCAAATGCCCCACTCTTTCCCCAAGAGTGTTCACACTGATCCTACCATTTATCATTGTATTCTTTCTGCAGAAACTTATTAATTGCCTACTATATGCCATGCTCTGATTATAGACAGTTAAAAAGAATACAATCCATGCTCCATAGAGGGTTCCTGTGTTCTTAGAGGAGAGAAAGATACAGCGCCAAATAATCCCAGCAGGCTTCTGTAACATAAGTACAGGCAAGGTGCCATGGAGCACAGGGAAAGGAATATTTAATTCTTCCAGCAGAGTCAGTGTTGTAGAATGAATAAGAGAAGAAGAAAGGAAGAAGCAAGAGCAATCATGTACAAAGGACAGAATGGACAAAAGTTTGAGAGAGAAAGCACATGACATGTTTGAGATGCCCAGAAGAATGCCACATGGTTGGTTTACAGGATTTGAGATGAAAAGTTCGGCAGGCCAGAGAAACTGGATCATAAAGAAATTATATGTGGTACCAAAAAGTTGTGATTGGGTACCTTTCAAAATTCCTTATGGGTACCCCCTAAAAGGAGCTGAGCTGTGCCCCTCTCTATTTCATGTGTGTTTGTTCTGTCTTACACTCAGTCATATGCTACTCAGAAAGCAAGGATGAAGTCACTTTTATCTTCTATATCACGCTCTTCTTTACAAAGTTAGTATAATAACAACACCAGTAAACATTTTCAACTGGGTGCAGTGGCTCATACCTGTAACCCAAGCACTTTGGGAGGCCAAGGCAAGAGGATAGCTTTAGGGCAAGAGTTTGAGACCAGCCTAGGCAACATAGCAAGACCTCGTCTCTACAAAAAATTTAAAAATTAGCCAGGTGTGATGGCACAAGCCTGTAGTCCTAGCTACATGAGAGGCTGAGGTGGGAGGATTGCCTGAGCCAAGGAGGTAGAAGCTGTGGTGAGCCATGGTCATGCCACTGCACTCCAGCCTGGGCAACAGAGTGAGACCTCAGCTCAAAAAAAAAAAAGTGCTAGTCAATCATATTTTTAAAATTATATTCTGATCTTTTGAGGGACAATATGATGAATTCAAGTCATTTCATTTCAACTAAAATGATTGGTCACATATCCAAACAGTGGTGACCACAGAAGCATGGAGCACAGGGAACGGCCAGGCCCAGCCCTTGGTTATCGGCACGCTTAGGTTTTCACATCACCTCTTTTGCACTGCTGGCATGTTTATATGAGTTTTTTGGAACCAAACAGTAAGAATGTTTGTTCTCTACAGCCCACTTCTGAGGTCTCTGCATTGCTTGGGGAGAAAGCTCAGTTGGGGAGACAAGTTGGAAATGTGACTATTTCTCAAGTTTGTGGTTAAATATTTTCTACTAAACAGAAAAGGTGTCAAAGTGCAGCATTCCTTCAAATGGCTGTGGATTAGGGATAGCAGAAAGTAGCAAAATCCCAAAGGGCTTTTGGTAAGTACCACTTACACTTCTGGGGCTTATGAACAACTTGCTCCAGTTCCTCCAAATTGTCTTTGACTGTTGCTATCACTGATGCATCAAGAGAAGCACACAGTTTGCAGATATAATCTATGGCTTCCTCTGTGTTTTTGGCATCTCCAACACCCACGGAGGCAGTCAGCCCAATGACCTGTTAGGAGCATTCCAAGTCATTAGACATCTGAGAAATTGCAAGACACTTCCACAAGCCTGCATGTAACCCTTTCCTACTAGAGTAGGGTTTTTGTTTTTATGTTTTACTAATAACTTCAGATAAAGAACAAGAACATTATTATTTTTTTTCCTGACATTCTCTATGACATCGCTAATAGAAAGGTCCCCATTAGGCAAAGCACTGAATATATGCAGAAGTCACAACTCATCAGCATACAAGTGGATACAGGAAAACTTTTCAAGGCAGGGTTTCTTTTTTCTGAGTCCCCCATGGAGTGGAGAACAGTATATTGAAAGGGACTTAAACTAGACACACTTCCATTCCAGTCTCAGTCAAGTCATGCTGGCTGTGTGTCCTTGGACAAGTATTTTCAGCTTTCTATAAAGTTGAGAAACAACAGCTATTTAAAATGGTAGCTGTGTAGATTCAGTGAGATAACACATAAAAAATTTACCTTAATAGTCACCTAATAAATGTTCATTTCTCCCTCCAATAATCACTTAATAATTGTTGAATCATTGACAAGCAAGGAATCGAGTTGACTACCAATTTTATTCAATAGAAAAAAACTACAAGAAATACAATTGCTACAGAAGAGTACTTTTTTTGTCTGTGGGCACCAAACTGAATTTCTTTTAACCTGCACTTCCTAAGTTAGCAATTATTAGAGCTGGAAAACTTTACATAAATGTACAGAGTAGTATACAATAAATTCATGGTTTCCAACCCCATGTGGGCCACCAATATGACCAAGAAATCCTTCAGCGAATTCCTCTCGGTTTTCCCTCCCATTTCAAATCCTCTTCACCCTCCCCAAGCTCCCTTCCCCATTCCCATATTGATGACTTTAAGCAAATGATCCCTACCTCTCCTACACTCAAGAGAAAAGAGACATTATACATCAGGGATTCCCTTCCCTTCCTGCCCCATCTGAGAACTATTCTATGAATTGGCTCTTCCCCTCTCCTCTTCTCTGATGACACTAAAAATGCTGTTCCATCTTCTCTCCCATACTAATCCATCTGCTCACCCCATGCCCTCTAGTCTCTCTGGGCACCTTCTTCTCTCAACCATTTGCTCTCTGCCATCCTGCCTCACCTGCTGCTATTCCCTACCTCACACTCTTCACTCAGGTACTATTGAAGAGCTTCAAGATTCTTGAGCACACCATGTTCTTTCACACCTCTGTGCCTCTGGACACAGTGCCCTCTTACTGAAACCATCTAGCTATGGCAAACTCCTGTAAGTTTTTACCTAACCTAACTTCTCTTAGGTCTTGCCTTACTTCCAGAGCACACTTAGGAGTGTTTTACTTAATGTTCCAACTGCATCTTCTACCCATCTCCATAGCAAGCCATCATGATAGGATGTGACATAATTCTTACATATCTGGATCTTTGAGAAACTTAGGTTGCTTGAGGACAAAGAGGATATCCTTTTATATTTGTAACTCCAGTGTCCAGCACATCACATGGCTCAAGGAGGCACATAATACATATTTGTTAAGTGAACAAATGAGTGAATGAATCAAAATTAATCAATGAGTTATACAATATAGACTTAGAACCTGAGAAGTACATCCTCAATGTGACCATAAGAGTAAGTAAATAGGATTTAGGAAGATTATGACTCTTCCAAGGAATTCATCTGACTTTGGGGATACCTGAGGCAGCGGGCCTGAAGATCCTCCAAGTTTCTGATCTAGATAATGAAACATGATCATATTATATGGATGTTGTTTACTGGTGTTATGGCACTCATCAAATATCATCAAAGTAAAGATAGACAGTGATGGAATTGTTCCATTTTTAAGGTTGTTTACAAGAATCTGTGGAGTTAAAATGATGATGTCATTGTTCTCTACCATCTGTTTCACTGGGATATTCTCAGTTGTTGCTCCAGAAATGCCTGTAACTTTGTACCTGGGAAATAACAAAAATTCCCTATTACCAGTCACAACATGAATAAGGAACCACAAAGATGAAATGCTAGATCATTAATTGATTGAGCTCTCCCTAAGTCCAAAAGGAATATAGCAGTACACCAGTTAAGTTCTTAGTACAGAGCCTGACACATGGTAAGTGATCAGTAAATGCAAGTGAGTTATAATTTACAGTAGCATATATTAATTCTTTCAAGTCACTAAGAGAGGAGAATACTTAAAGAGTGATATTAAATAAGTTATAAAATAATTAAAGAAGTTAAATGTGTCATTTAAATATCAGACTTATCCCTTGAATCATTTGCTTACTGTACAAGAGCAAACCAGGAAAGTTTAGGATTTCTGGTGTATCTAACAAAAAGAATCCATGAAGGAATGAATCCTTGAAGGAATTACCTCTAGATTATATAAAAGGTGAATCTATTACAAATTATTTTAATTGTGGCTTATCAAAAACAAAACAGAAAACACATCAATTACATGAAGACACAGAAAAATAGATTGGACAATTATACCTACCCAAGTCTTTCAAAATATTTTGAGAACACAGATTTCTGCTGCTCATATACTGGAATCTGATTAGCAAAAAAGACAACTTTTCCCTTTTGCCCTTGTGGAAAATTGTTGAAGTGATGTTCACATATAAGAAGTGAAACAAAGGTTTTTCCACAACCTTTTAACATAAAAGGAAAAAAGAAAACATGTAACTAATATTATATTAGATATTTTATAGAAAGATATTTCTTTTTGGTCTTTCTAATATCACCATGCTTACTAGTAAATTGATAATTTAGATAGGTTGACAATTACAGAGTTTATGCTATATTTAAGAAAATCTCAAACTACTCCCTAAACAACGTGCAAGCTGCCTGGACCCTAAAGCAAGCTAAAAGAAAGCGTTTTCCTTTCCCTTATCATGTGCCTTAAATGCATTAAGATTATATTAAAAGGATAGTTCTCCCAATAGACAATGGAACAAGTAAAGAACTGAAACTTGCCCATTCTGTCCCAGTATTCAATAAAAGAAAAAAGGAAGCCAACAGAAAAACTACATAAGTAACAGCAATTGGCTTACCAGTAGGAGCACATATTATTGTGTTTTTTCCTTCCTTAGCAGGCAAAGCAAGCTCTAGTTGATAATTTCTTGGCTTAAATGGGCTGTGCCAGCTAGTATGAGATTCTTCTGTAATAAAAAAGGAACAAAATTACCGAATAGTTACTGTTCTGAGGAATCATAGTAAAAGCCATAGTCCAATGTACACAAATTCCAACTCTAGCAAGAAGGCCTCATTAGAGAAAGTTTAGAATTTGGTGTCTTGTTAACCATTCCAGCTTCTCCCTAATTTGAATTACAGATTTCTCTCAGTGATGAAGTATTGATGGCAAGAAGGAAAAAAAAATTATTTAACAACCAAGGAAGCCTGATGAAGAGAAACTAAAACAAGAATAGCCCAATTCAGGGTAAGACAAAATGGCCAGAAATGCTACATGGAACAAAACAATAACAAATCCTCCCAAGATCTTTGGGGAAAAAAACAAACTGTTAATATTGGGTTCTTAAAGCAATTGTTTATTAAGGAGCAGCCATGCATTGTAATACTTCAGGCTCTCACATGGTATTTGCTCTCAACACAACTAGAAGTTTCAAAAAATAATCAGAGGCTTTATCTCAATAATAGTGCACTGCTGGGCAGACAGCACAGGCTGGATCTCAGTTCCTACTCAATCTCTCAGCCAGGTTCATCTGTGCCATTCACTGACTATTAACTCGCATGGCAGCTTGAGATCTTAAAAGGAAACTGAGCAAGCGACTCACAAATAATAGAAGGGTTTCTTTAGAAAGCAAGACTGACTTGGGATTTCATGACACTGAGTTTCAGAGAGGACTCTACTTGTGTTTCCAATGTAGATATGCACATACTTTCTTAGTGGTAAAAGAAGAAGTTAGTAGAAGAGGAGCTATAGAAAGAGAGAATGGCATTTCTAATTACAGAAAAATGATCTATTTTATCATAAATTCTCTTTTCATTCTTAATTTTCCTTAGAAACCTTTTCACAGCCAGGCTCAGTGGTTCAGCCTGTAATTCCAGTACTTTGGGAGGACGAGGCAAGTGGATTGCCTGAGCCTGCAGGTTCGAGACCAGCCCAAGCAACTTGGCAAGAGCTTCTCTCTATAATAAATCAAAAATTAGCCGGGCGTGGTAGCACACACCTGTAGTTCCAGCTACTTGGAAGGCTGAGGCAGAAGGATCACCGGAGCCTAGCAGGTCGACGCTGGGGTGGCTGTGAGTGTGCCACTGCATACCAGCCTGGGCAATGGAGTGAGACCCCAACTCAAAAAAAAAAAAAGAAACCTTTTCACAAGACCATGACTTTTAGCATTGCCTAACATATCCTCCTACAACATACCTGAAGAGTACCATTATGGAAAAAGACAAACACTGTCAGGTACCTGAAGGCAGACATGAATTTTGACTGAGATTCTGGTATTCTGGATCTTCCTGGTAGAAAATTTGTACTTCAGAGGTTTCCAACCTTTCATCTTCAAGGTCTTTCATTTCAGCATCTTTTATATCTTTATGAGACCAAAAAAACAGCTTACAATCGCAACATAATCTGAGTATAGTTTTGAAGATGAAAACCCCACAAAAAAGGCTATAAAACTAAAATTGTAAACTTCCATTAAGATTTCTCACCACCCCCTTTCACCTTTTAAAACAAAAGAATTATTTTGAGTTTAAAGCCTCAGTTTGGAGTTTGAACTCCAATATCATTTAGGACTATATTCCTCTAAGTGTGAAACATGTTGCCCTTACTGAGCCAAAACCTGCATTTTAACAAGACCTCCGAGGGATTCATATGCACAATAAAGAAGAGAAGCATGATTTAGCAGATATTCATGTCTTCCATTTCTGACTGACTCCTGACTCAAGAAATCAGATGTGTATTCATATAGTTTCTGGAACAACTTATGCTCTATGGACGTCTAGGCAAAGCTAAAACCAGACATTCAGATGTTTACCAAATTCAGCCTTTAAAGCAATGCTCTGAGACGTTAGTTTCAAGATGCCAAATGATGGCTTGGCACTTAATCACAACCAACTCTTCTTCTTTGACCCCATTCTGGTTCAGTTCCAGATAGCTTCCTGGTGACAGAACCAGGCAACGTCTATCATTTTGCTTCCCCCATATTCTTTGGGCCAGATGGGCTAATTCTGGCAGGGTCTTTATTTAGGGATTACATGCAACCAAACTAATTCCCCAGGCAAGTAGCTACTTCCCTCCTAGAATCCACCTTCATGCTGGTCTCGCACTAGAGATGTAGCCCTGTGACAGAAAGTAAAGGACAGGCAGGGATGAGGGAAGTCCTAAGTGGAGCACAAGGAGAGCACAACATCCTCTCAGACCCTCTCCCTTCACTCTTCAGGGCTCTTGCTTGGAATGTCCTACCTTTTCCCACAATCCACAGTTCACTGAACCTGCTTTCTTCTTTCTCCAAAGCAAATGTCAAAGTTTTGGGCCAGTTCTCCTTGTCTGATCTGAGAAGGCATTCCACCATTTTCTCTGCACCTGCCATTGTCCCTTTATTGGAGCAAACCTAAGCAAGGGAACTGCAGTTTATTGATCGATAATTTCTAAAGTTTTCCCTTTATCCATTTCTACTGAAGAAATGACAGTTCATGTATTACCCAATTTATAATCATTGTACATTATGGTTCAGTGGGTCTTATTCATTACTATTTTTGCCCCATCCAACACAGTCTTTTAAGAATCTCTTTCCAGGCCGGGCTCGGTGGCTCAGCATGTAATCCCAGCACTCTGGGAGGCCAAGGCGAGTGGACTGCCTGAGCCTGCGGGTTCGAGACCAGCCTGGGCAACTTGGCAAGACCTCGTCTCTGCAATAAAATAAAAAATAGCCAGGCATGGTAGCATGCACCTGTAGTTCCAGCTACTTGGAAGGCTGAGGCGGAAGGATCACTGGAGCCCAGCAGGTCGATGCTGGGGTGGCCATGAGCTTGCTACTGCTCTCCAGCCTAGGCAATGGAGTGAGACACCAACCAAAAAAAAGAAGAAAAAAGATACTTTTTCCTTCATCTTTGTCCTTTACATATAATGTCATTATGCCAAGCCAAGCCTTCTTACCTCCTATCCTCACTGGCAATATTAGGAAAATAAGAAATTCATTTAACAACCATACACAATATAAGTATACTGGCATACAGTAATATTTGGAAGCATATGCCAAATTATTAACAAATTTTTTTTCAGGGACTTACATGACTTTATTAATAATAATTACTAAAATTTATTATGTATGTATTATTACATGCCAGGCATATATGATCACTTTACAAATATTACCTCATTTAACACATAAAAATACTGTACCATGTTAATAAGTCACTATTATTCCCATTTGATGCATAAAGAAACAGATATTTAGAGAAGCTAAGGAACTTGCCCAAGACTGCACTACTAGTAAATGATTGAGCTGGGATTCTAATAAAACTTATTTGTGTCCAGAACCTAAACACTTAATTGCTAGAACTATAGATTTTTAGGTTGGGCATGGAGGTTCATGGTCCAGCATTTTGGGAGGCCAAAGCAGGAGGATCACTTGAGCCCAGGGGTTTCAGACCAGTCTGGGCAACATAGTAAGACCTCATCTCTACAAAAAATGTCCTAAAAAGTTAGCTGGGCATGGTGATACATGCCTGTAGACCCAGCTACTTGGGAAGTCAAGCCAGGAGAATCACTTGAGCCCAGGAGATCAAGGCTGCAGTGAGCTAGGATGATGCCACTGCACAGCAGCCTGGGTGATGGAGAACCTGTCTCAAAAAAAAAAGTATCTGTAGTCTTTTCTCTTTTTATTTGCTGAAGTGTTCGATTTTACTTAAATTTGCATAAAACAATACTCACAAAATACAGTAATTTTAACTGAAAGTAGGACAAACTTGAAAAAAATGTGTGCCATAAAAATTACTCAGTTAACATTAAAAGTACAATTCTAGGTAATTATGCCTTAGATTTTAAAACTTTTGTGGGTTTCAATGATCTCTCTCAGGTCTAAAACAATAGACAAAGCAGAAGACATTTCCCACATTCAAATTATTTCCCCCAGATTTAGCATTTTATATTAATTAACTTGCCTGTACAATTTCTTCACATTCCTGCTTAATTAAACATTCAGATATTTCAGGAAGGATATCTTCTGGATTAATTCTGGTTTTAAATTCTGGTTGCAAACGCTTTAAAAGTAATCTATACTCCTCCAACTTTTCAATTTTTTGGAAATCCCAACTTTCTATGGCTTCATAAAGTCCAGAATAACCTGAAAAGAAGGAAGAAAATGAAGATTTTTATGAGACCAACTAAAAAATACTTTGAGATTAAGACTAATTAATTAATTTGTGTTTGTATGGTGACAGAACTCAAGAAATATCTATGAGATACCCCAGCTATAACGATTGTTCAGAAAGAAAGCAGCATTTATTTTAGTCACCCAACATTTTAGGTTTTCTAGCAATATTTATATATCTCTTGGGAAAAGTACGAAGTCTTACAGTTGGTCTTAGAATAAAACCTTATGAACTTTAGCTGCAACCTTTGATTTGTCTTTAAATAAGTCAAAGTCCTCACATTTATTAAATATCTTCAGTGGAAAGCAGCAATGAAGGCAAAAAAGAAATACAAATCTTAATTTATGCCCCTAAGAAACTTTCTTTGACATTTTTACAAACAAAGTATATTAAGTAAATAGGAAATTTGAGAAGGAAAAATAATTTAAAGCTGTAGTAATTTTTAAATGTTTCATTCTGCTGGGCAATGGTAGGCCAAGATGGGAGGATTGCTTGAGCCCAGGAGTTTGAGACCAGCTGGGCAACATAGCAAGACATCATCTCTACAAAAAAATCAAAACATTAGCCAAGCATAGTGGTACCCAGCTCCTCGGGAGGCAGAGGTGGAAGGATTGCCTGAGCCCAGGACGTCAAGGCTGCAGTGAGTGGTGATCATGCCACTGCACTCCAGCCTGGGAGACACAGTGAGCTGCTGACTCTAAATAAATGAATGAATGAAAAAATAAAACATCTCACTCTAAGTTCCTATCAAAATCACTTAAATGTCTTAAATGTCTGAATTTAAGACTCACACTCTTTTCATTAGGCTAGGATGAGAATGGGGTTTATTCCTAAGCTTTTACATGCAGAAATGGCTCAGAGGGCTGGGAAAACCCCTGAATTCTGTTAAGAGAATCTCAATTTGATACCTGTCTTGCATTGTCCTTTCTGTATATGGGTATGAAATGAAACAAACAAAAATACAAGAAATGCATTAGAGATGACAGTCAGCAAAAGAAAGGTAGTGTTTGCTTTAACATCATGTTAGTTTAATAAATATATGTTAAACATGATGGTAATAAAGGATGCCCTAGTATCAGTAGAATTTTTTTCCTGTAGCATTGGCAAATTGTCCTTAATTTGTCCATTTTTAAATCATTCTACTACAATGAAGATAATATGATAACTGCTATGTTTTCTTTAGTGCCTCATATAGGTACTGTGCTAAGTTCTTTATATATGTCCTCTCGTTCATTGTTTACAACACTGAGAGAATATTTTTCTTTTGCTTCTTTGACAAAAAAATAAACTGAAGCATCAGAGAGGCAGAGTAATTGGCTAAAATTCCTGGATAGTAAGTGGCTGAATTGGTATTGGAATCCAATGTCTGACTCATATTCTGATGTTATCAGTGAAGTGAGTTATCCCAAAACAGAAACTCCTTCAGAAAACCCAGGTTCTGGTTCCAGCTTTATAAACAATTAATGTATGATCTTGAGCAAATCACCTACTCCTCTCCAGGTGTTGGTTCCCCCTGTACAGAAGAAGGGAGGTTGGATTACATGGATTCTATGTCTTTCATCTGTAGAAGAGACTGACTCTGTATGCTATAAATGGTAGAGACCAAAGAACACATTAACGATCTAAAAGCAGAAATGTAAAAATTACACGATAGTTGATGCACATAACAAGATTTGCCACATATATAATAAAGAGGATAAAATATGTTAATCCACTAAAATTTAAGAACTAAAATATTCCAATACTTGTGTATGTCTTGTTTTTTCTCATCCCTGTCTCCCTGCCAAAAATATGGCTATCCTGTATTTGATGTATCATCCCTTGATTTTTTTTCATTACTTATGTGGTATATATTTGATTCCCTAAACAATATATGTTTAGTTTAGCTTGTTTGGAACTTTATAAACATTATATCCTATAATATGTAAGTTTATTTGACTTTTATTTTTTTAAAAGATGGGGTCTCACTCTGTCACCCAGGCTGGAGTACAGTAGTGTCATCTTAGCTCAACGTGGCCTCAAACTCCTGGCCTCAAGCGATCCTCCAGCCTCAGTTTCCTGATGACATTTTAAACATTTAATATTACATTTCTTTTTTTTCTTTTTGAGTTGAAGTCTCACTCTGTCACTCAGACTGGAGTGCAGTGGCATGCCCCTGACCACCGCAGCCTCGACTGGCCAGGCTCCAGGGATCTTTCCGCTTCAGCCTTCAAGTAGCTGGAATTACAGGCGTGCGCTACCACGCCTGGCTCATTTTTTGATTTATTGTAGAGATGAGGTCTAGCCAAGTTGCCCAGGTGGGTCTCGACCCACGGGCTCAGGCAATCCACTCACCTCAGCCTCCCAAAGCGCAGGATTACAGGCTGAGCCACCAAGCCTGGCCTAATATTACATTTCTAAGACTCACCTGAGCTGTTGTCTATAGCTGTGTTCACACATTTTCTTTTCTTTTTTTTTTTTTTTGAGTTGGAGTCTCACTCTGTCGCCCAGACTGGAATGCAGTGGCCGCTCCCGGCCACCGCAGCCTCGACCTGCTAGGCTCCGGCGATCCTTCCACCTCAGCCTTCCAAGTAGCCGGAATTACAGGCGCATGCTACCACGCCTGGCTAATTTTTTATTTATTGTAGAGATGAGGTCTCGCCAAATTGCCCAGGCGGGTCTCGAACCTGCGGGCTCAGGCAATCCACTCACCTCAGCCTCCCAAAGCACGGGTTACAGGCTGAGCCACCGAGCCCGGCTTGTTCACACATTTTCATTGTAGTATAATTAACCATTGTATAAATATTATAAAATTTATTTACCCATCTCCTCTTGAAGAATATTGGGGTTGCCTCCAGTTTTGTTTGCTTGCTTGTTTTTGTTATTATTAATACAAACAATTACACTATGAACACTCATGTATGTATACGTTGGAATACATATATGCATATGAGCTTTTCTAGGGCACAAACTTAAGAGTGAAACTGTTGGATAGAAAGATACCTGAGAGTTGAACTCTAAAGATGACACCAAATTATTTTTCAAATTAGTTCTATCAATTTATACTCCATACTGTGATATTTAAGATTTCCACTAAATATCCTCTTCATACCATAAGTTTGTCTATCTAGTAGCTACAAAAACATTATCTTATTGTGTTCCTAATTTACAATTCCCAAATTGTCAATTGGGCAGAGAATCTTTCCATATACTTATTCAACTTTCACGTTTCCTGTTCTTTGAAATGTCTGTTCCCATCTTTTGCTCTATGGGTGTTTTCTTTTTCCAATTAATCTTAAAACCTTTTAAATATATTCTGGAAATTCATCCTCTGGTGATGATATATTTTGCAAATATTCTTTCCCAGTTTGTAACTTTTTTTTTCACTTTCTTTATAGTGTCTTTTTGACAAACAGATGTTCTTAATTTTAATCTCATCTGTGAAAGAAAAAGCAAAATAAAACTTTATCTGAGGAAGGTGAACCCTTTTAAATTATCAGGCCCAGAGAAGCATTTAAAATGTAACAGCAGTCACATGTCACTCTCTCTTGAGCTAATAATTAACTGCTCCAGGCAACTTGCTCTGAGGCCTCTAGACTAACTGATGCTAAGTAGCCATAAAATGCCATACACCCTACAGCTCAACAAAGTATAGCATCACTAACCAATGTTATTTCTGTGAACCAATGAGAATTTCTGATAAACAACTTTTGAAACTGACCTCTCTCCTGACTCTTCCTTTTTCCTTTAAAAACTTGAGCTGAAGTCAGGAAGATGGCAGCTGAGCCAGTCAGATTATGCGAGTCCCAGTGTGAGTGACTGAGTGTATGAAAAATTGTGTGTATGTGCTGGTGAGCAAGTGAGCATGTGAGTAGCTAACTGAGTGAGGGCTAGGGAGCTAGCAGCCAGGGCTCTCCTGGTGCAGGGGCTGGTGCCATAGTTGCTGGGTTTGGGCCCTAGCGACTCCCGGGATGCAGAAACCTAGCACCATTTTTTTTTAATCAATAGAACCCTTCCTGGGAAGAAAATGCTTGGAAAGACTGACTCAGTGGGAGCTCATCAGCAAGTGGCCAGGGCCCAGGTGCAATAGCTGGTGCTGCAGCTTCTCTGCTTGGTCCCTGGCTCCTCCCAGGTCACAGAAGCCAAGCGTCATTTTTTTTTTTAATGGACAAAAGAAGCACGTGGATAAATTATGCCCCAGGCTTTGCCCCACCAAATCAATGCCTGGCAGGACACTGGCAGCGGGGGCTGTGGAGGGAGTCCAGAGGTGGAGTCCCATGGAGTAGGACAGAAGAGACATGCTGCCACCATCTTGAAGGCAGGGAGGGAAGGTACTCCAGCTTGCTCGCTGGGAAGCAGCATACCTGATCTCTGTGCCTGGTGGATCAACTACTCGCGATTGATCGCAACCCAGAGGAAATATCCTGAAAGCACAAACTTCAGAGGGACCTGATGAGTGCTAAGTTCCAGGCACCCCCCTGCCTACCCTGATCCAGCCACGGGACAAAGGGTGTAGCTAGAAAAGGATGAGGAAGGACTCCAAATAGATCAGTGGTGAGTCCGGGGCTGAACCAAACCCCCTTTTCCTGAACGCCAGACCCACACAGCTGGGCCACAACTGAGAGGGACAACCCAGGCAGAGCACAATGTCAATCATAAATAGGAGAACTCTATTCCAGGATAGGCCTGGCTGGGGCACCCCCCATGAGTACCTACCTGAGGAAGCAACAATCCTGCATTTCCCCACTGGAGGAGATCTCCCTGACCATACAAGAGTGGGAGGGGAGGAATGCAGTCCACTCACCTCCACTGCCCCTCCTCCTTCCTTGCTCAGGAAACTGAGGAGAGAGTAAAAGAGGTGACTCTCCAGGAGAGACCTGATTAGAGGAACAATTACAGAGGGCAGGTGTTTGTTGTTGTTTTTTTAATTTCTAATTTTTTTCAGTTTTTAAGAATGTTTTGCCTGTTTGTTAGTTCATCTGTTTTTTAAATA